TATATATATATATATAGCCACCTTCTCACCTTCTCACAATAAAAACTTCTCACTTGATACGCTCCCTATATATATATAGTATTGCTGTATAATTGTATGTATGGTTATTTTATTATTATTATTTTGTATGATTGCGTGTATGGTTATTTTATGATTTTTTTTGCCTTCTGATATATTATTTTATGATGGATACAAGTTCTGTCATATATAAATGAAAAAAATGTGATTAAATGCAACTGGACAACGCAATATATAAATATAAAATATTGTTTAATAATTGGCTGTGTAATTATTTTATATTTATTTTATGAATCCCCAGACATTCTACTTACATATGCATCACATCAATTTTTTTTATTTTTATTCTTTTGTCGATAACCACATATTAGGCTTTGAATCTTTGTTGTATCTGTAACAAGTCTAGGTGTTTCATAAAATTAATATAGTATATTTAGACGAGCTTTAAGTATTTTTATGACATAAATTGTTCATTTTTAGAATTTAATCTTTTTAGTTTTCTTATAAAAAAATTAAAGTTATTTTTGTGACTTTAGAAATTAAAAAAAACTTATTAATTATCTTTATTATACATATTCTAGTGAAAAATAAATAAATGTATAAATAAACTAGCCTTAAATGTGGAAATGGACGCAAAAGGCTGATGTATACAATTATTCTAAATGAATGTAACAAAACAAAAATTGATTTACATATAATATTTGTTCAGCACAAAATTTTGTAAAATCGTTTTAAATTATGCTTTTATACAAAATTTCACATGACAATTGGTTTCTAACTCAAATCAGTTTTATTTTTTAAGTCAAAACTCCAAACAGTGTCACAGTAAAAGTCGAATATTAATACTAATTAATTATTAAAAAAAAGGTCTTTTATTGCATGTTATAGGTATTATTTATTAAAACGTTTCCATGAGCCATTATCAGGGTAAATTAAAAGTGGCTCTGTAAGATGAAAAAGTTAAAGATGAAAGGAGCATCATATATGAAGAAACAGTGATAGAGGAAAAAGATGTAAATTAATTTTGGTTGCATACGTACCATGAAAGTGTCACCAATGTTTATGACTAATGCTTCAGATCTTGGGCGAACAGCGAGCCATTTGTTATCTACAAAAACTTCTAAGCCTCCAACTTGGTCTTGGTGAAGAATGGTTAATGAAGTTGGATCAGTGTGAGGGCCAGTGCCTAAGGTAAGGTTCGCACTGTTGCAAGGTGGATAATAGTTGCACCTCATTATTGAGTCACCATCTTGAAAAAATCTTCTATAATGCTCTCGATCCACTCCCAAACTAATCGCCAACAGCTCCATAATTACCAAAGATAACTCCTTCATTGCTTCACAGTACTTTTGATACACCAATCTAATTCAACAAAACCCATGTTTACAATTGGGAAAGTGTTCATCACTATTGCTAATTAATTAAGTTAATTCTAGTACATTTGATTAGCATATAATAATTATGATTTTGTCTTATATAGTGATGGGTTATTTTTATAGGTATTTGTCTGAGGGGATATTTTATGAGGGTTATTTTTTTATAATGTTTTTATATAGTACATTATATGCACCGCTTTGGGCCTTAGCCCTCACGGTTTTGCTTTTAGTCATTACCTAAAAGGCCTCTCAATCATTGAAGTATCTTTGTGTTATATAAGTTTATATTTTTGTCTTATTTTATCAATGTGGAACTTGTTTGTATCTCAAGATATAGGATACAGTTGGGTCCTAATAAACAACACCATTTTCACTCATGCTTAGGAAATAATAAGGTGTGCCTGCTAGCTTGGTTGTACAGATATAAATAATGACTATGTGTATTAAAGATTGGTCTGGTAAAATTTAATATTTGTAAGAAAAAAATATATTATCGAATAAAAGTTCCTTACAAAAAATTCCCAAAAAAAGTTTTCTAAAAATTATGAAATACAAAAACACCAAAATAATAAATAAATAAGTACATACTAAAGTCAAAGCTATTAATATTACCAATTCAATTGTTTCCACCATCATAACTTATTTTTTATAGTATGACTTATCTTTCATGAACCAAAAGAAATCCTTCAAAATACATAACAAAATACAGGTTTAATTAATTTCAAGTATTTGGTATCAATAAGGGTATGTTAATGATATATACATACATTCATTGTCCTCTTTGAGATAGATACCCGTGCATCTCACTATTGACAGGTGGCTTAGCAATCTTGTCAAGGACAATCTCAACTAAGCAGTTGTAACAGTTCTTTATTTGTTTGTTTGTATTCTCATAAATAAAAGTGTTCAAAGACAAGTGGGTCAAGTAATAAGCTATTGTGACAAAAATCAGCATTGTCATGTAGTGAATAAAATAATGAATTGAATGTTAAGTTGCATCTAGAGCATATACACTAGTTATATTCTTAAAATATAATATGTAAGTGAAAATTGGGAAAAATAACTTTCATTTATATAGTTTAGTTATATTATTAGGCGATATGAGATGTTTATCAATTCTTACCCTGTGTAATGAAGGTCCTCCCCCAAGACAGACACAAAGTAGTCAACAATTTGGGAGTTGGAGATGCTTTGGTGGGCATAAAGGAAAGAAAAAGTCTCTTTCCATGGCAATTTGGAGGAGTAACGATCTGCATGAGCCCCAGAGTATCCAGAGACACCACCAGGTTTCCTTTTGGCACTAAGTTTTCTGGCAATTGGGAGCTTAAAAATAGAGTCAAGTTGTTGATAAGCAGCATCAATGAGATTTGGGTCCACACCATGGTTGACAACTTGGAAGAAGCCATGCTTCAAGCAAGCATTCCTCACAAGCTCTGCAGCATTGGCAATGGCACCCTCATCACCATTTCTCATGATGCCTAAGTCCACAAGGGGTTCCTTCAGCTCCTCTTGGGTGGTGTTGACCAAGTCCCCAGAAGGCCAAAGGAACTCTTTGGGCATGTCACCTTGCATTTGAAGCAAGTTGGTTGAGTCAAACACTAACCCCTCATTCTCTTCTTGGGGCTGTGATGAAGGGTAGTGTACTAGAGTGGAACCACTTAATTCCATTAGGGGAAACATGCTTTTTTGCATAATCTGTATGGAGGCTGCTCCATATATATAGCTGGCTGCCTGCATGAACATATATGTCATCAAGTAAAGAAACAGTGCAAATATAAATTATTAAAATATTGAGTTGAAAAATCAAAGTGGGAAATTATTTTAAACTTTATATCTAAGTGTGCTAATAGAATATTGTCAATAATTAAATTATACTCGAACACAAAAATGGGAAATAATTTTAAATTTTATATCTAAGTGTTCTAATAGAATATTGTCAATAATTATACTCGTCCCTTTTTGTGTTCGAGCATCGAAGGACATATTATGGTATATATTTTAATCGCGTCATATATAGTTGCTAGCTCCAACACTGTTTGACACATTTCATAGCTTTTCTTAATCCAATTATTTAAAGTTCAAATTTTAATATTGTGTGTAAAATATATTAGTCCTAACATGAGAAGAGAATATTTATTTTATGTATATTTATAGTTGAGGAGGGTTCAAACGATACCGATATAACTTTTACTAAGTGTTACACCGCTCAATAACTTTAAATTAAATGTAAATTTTGTAAATTTAACCGTTAGATTGAAAATTCATATCACTTTATATGTGTATATCAAATTTTGTTAAAATTGAACAACAACTTGATGGTAATCAAAATGTTCATATTTTAGTATATTTTAAAATAAATATACTACGTCAATTTTGTTTTATAAGAATGAAGTATCAAATCATCTTGGATTAATATAAAATTTTGTATATATGATCTAAGAGTAAAGAACTTTCAATCTAACGGTTGGATTTACAAAATTCACATTTAATTTAAAGTTATTAAACGGTGTAACATTTAGTAAAAGTTACACCGGTGTCGTTTGAATTCTCCTCATTTATAGTTTTGGATAGAAATTAATTATTATTATTAATAGATATTTTGTATTAATATTATATATATATATATTTGTTAGCTGTTTATTATTTTATAATAAAATTTAGAAGTTTGTTAAATTTAATAAACGGTTGATAAATGATCGAGAATTTACTCTAACTATTCATACTCAAAAGAGAAGTTAGGGGACTGATCATAGAAATAAATATAAAGAGAAGAATATTTGAATTGTATCTTAGAATTGTATTTAAAAAATATTATATATATATATATATATGATAAATATTTTGTTTATTTTAGGAGTAAGTCTATCTAAACTTATTATGTTCAATAACTTATGTTATACATCATATTTTAATGATTCAACCGTTAAGTTTAAAGTTTTTAATGCATAAATCAAATCTGCAAATTTTAAAAAGTTTGAAAATTATTTAATACTTCTTTTCATTAATTCAAATCAACGTCTAAAATTATTTGATGATTATTCATCAATTTAAATTAATGAAATGGAGTATCAAACAATTTTCAAATTTTTAAAAAATTTGCAAATTTAATCTATATATTAAAAACTTTAAATTGAATGATTTAGTCATTAAAATTTGATTTAGTATATGAATTATTGAACGGTGTAAGCCTATATAAACTTACTCCTAAAGTAAACGAATCTCTTATTTATATATATATATATTATTTCACCTAATTAAGAAAATAAAAGAGAAAATAAGTACAAATCAAATAAGTTTGATCTAGGAAATGCAAGTCAACTTAATTATATAAATAAATCTATAATTAATTATAGCAATAAATTTGTCTAATTCTATGATTTACAACTAAATATTAATAGTGGTAACTAATTATAATACTTATCAAATATACAATATATATACAATATTTTCTAATATCCTTTTGTCAGGTTGAATTATTAAGGAAGTCTAACTTATTTAAGTGCATGAATTATTCTAATCTCTTTTGGTATTAAATTCAATTGTCATAGATCGATAATAATAATAAAAAAAATATTACTTGTCTTGGGGGATGCCAACAAGTTGAACAAAGGTCAACACATAATTAGTAACAACAGTGTGCTTGAAAATAATATCGATCACAAAGTGACAATGAGCTTCCATGTGTTTGGTATGCTTATAAAAACTTGGATTAACAACAATATGTAAGATAATCTTGCTATCGCAAATAAGCTTCATAGACATGGAAAGATCAACGTTAGGGCATAGCATTCCTTTTAACAATTTTTTCTCGCAGTAGCATTAGTCATGGAGCAATATTCTGCTTCAATTCAATATATAAGAGCAAGACATTGCAATTTGTTCCTTGATTTTTCAATAGATAGGCAAATTATCAAGTTGAAACAAACAAATCAATATAAGATCGCCTAATCAAGGGACTACTTGTCCTGTTCACAAAATATATTTTTTGTGTATAATCATATTTATCAATTTGATCATATATAATCAAGGAAATTTCTATTCACAAATATCCCTTGAGACTAGAAAAACACCCAACTCCAAGTATGACACCATTCATTAAGGATAACCTATAAAAACATACTTTTAAGCTTCAATTAATAAACTTATCCCCTTCATGGCTTTATGATATTGATTATGCACATAATACAAATGTCTAAACATACCTACATGATCAAACGAAGGTTACTTACCATGCAACATTTCACATGATGTTCTGCCATTTAATACAAGTGAGGAAGTGTGCCTAATCATATACTAAGTCTTCAAAATACATTTTCATGGAAATTCAACAAGGGGATTTTTCTAAAATTATAGAGACTAATAATCCACACATTGAGTACATGTCAATGCTTATATTTTGCTCCGCCATAATTATAAAATTGTACAAATGTGTTGCACCTCCATTTTATCAGCCAAAAAAAATAGGCCTTGAGAATAATCTCCAATTATAGTAAAAAAAATCTTTAAAAGATGGAGTTTGATATGAATCGCAGGATTCACAATGAATTAACTAAAACACCTTTATTGTTTTATTTTTTACTAACAAAAAAAACTTATCTCTTATTTGATTTTGTAATAAAAAAATCAAATACTTTATTTAACATTGACGTATAAAAGATAATTCGTACTTTTTAAATTATTTTTAAAAATTATATAATAATGGACAAATAAATATAGAGTAAATTTAAAATATATATATATATATATATATATATATATCATTTAAAAAAATTAAAAGTAAAATTGAACAAAAATAGTGTTACAATCTTATAAGATAAATATTTCGACCCTTGTACCACAATTTAAAGGTGTTCTCACCACCAGTTTTTACAGTTCCTATCATAGTTATCCTTAAAAATATCTTTTTCCTGTTGCTCAGTCTCGCCAATTAAACATCCTCAACTTACAGTATTCAGTAAGTTATTAGTGTTGTAACAAAAAAGAAAAAGTAAGTCATTAGTGAACTGAACAATGCAATTACATCAATCAATTTCAACACAAAAATCAAATTCCAAGTTAAACATGACACATAGAAAACATTAGACAACTTCAATTTAACACTGGGGTTTGTTTCCTCTCTTTGATGATGACATTGGGGCATGTTTCATTTAAAAAATATTAACAATTTCTTTTTTTGTAAATTTTAAGATCATTTAAAAGATTTCTGATTATTATTTATTTTACAGTGACGTGATGTAAATCTAACTATGTGAACCACAGTAATTGTTCTGAGATGATGTGACCTATTATGTCTAATATATAACATATCATTAATAAATGATAACATGAGTTATTTTTAAACTTTTATAAAATTTATAAAATCAAGAACGAACAGATTAATATAATTGTAACATTTTAAGACTAAATCGTATTTACAAATATTAATAACATATTTAATATAAATTTGTGTCAGTTTAAAAAGATGATACATTGTTTCTTCCCCAAAACATGAATGCTGTGGTTCCTTGAATCGGGGTTTCCTTCCTTAAACTTAGTGCACCGAAAGAGTATTTTCTAAACAGGAATCCTAGCTAGTTCATGAATTTGGGTTGTTTACAGTTGTAAAACAATTAATTCACTACAACAAAATTTAGTATTACCAATAATTATTTAATAACAATAAATTAATTATTTCTATTTTATTATTTAATAAAAATATTAATAACTATTATATAATAGCCACTAAAAATATATTTACATCACATTAAAATTTACTATTAACGACAATTATTTGTTAAAAAAAATTTAAGTCTTACATCGACTATAAATAAAATAATTAAAGAGTATATAAGTAAATGATAACTCTCATCTTACAAGTATGTTTTATAAGGTTGAGTTAGACCTATAACTTATTATTCTAAGTTGATATTTAGGAGATAAGATAATTAAAAAATTAAAGAATATATACTTAGAAGGTAACATTCATCTTCTAAGTCCCACATCAATTAAAAATAAGATAACTAAAAAGTATTTGTACTTATTTTACAAGTCATACATCGACTAGAAATAAAATAATTAAAGAGTATTATAAATTTTTTCTTAAACTTTTAGCGGCAATTTTAAATGCCAGTAACAAATGACACAAAAACTTATACACTTTTCTCGACCATTATGAGAGTCTTTACCGGCATATAAAATTAACCTCAAGAACCCATCCGTGAAACGGATTCTCCGAGAGGTCAAGGAGATGCAATCAAACCGTTCCGATGACTACATGAGTCTCCCTCTTGAGGTTTTTATTCTTTTCAAAAAAAAAATTTGTTTATAGTCTTTTCTTTAGTTCTGGCTATTTATGGATTTCCATAGTGCGATCTTTCCTTTTTACTCTTCAATTTCACGAATTATTTAGCCACGGGTGCATGTCATTTTGCTATCTCGTTGCAATTAACAAAATGTTATATCCTATTCATGAAAAATGGTATTGTAATTGTTAGCAATTTAGCCCGGTTCTGGATTTTGGCTAATTGCAAATTTTGAAGATAAAAGAAATAAATAATAGGGACTATTTTTTTTTTTAAAGAATATATCTTGGTTGTGGGCCTTGTGGCTTACGATTTTGCGGTAGTCATCAAGTAAAGGAATAAAACAATTTATAATGCATTCAAGTGCTATGTGAGCAATTTAAATATGGTTTTTATTTTTTTCAGGAGAATATATTTGAATGGCAATTTGCAATTAGGGGACCTCCTGATAGTGAATTTGAGGGTGGTATTTATCACGGAAGGATCCAGTTGCCTTCAGAATATCCCTTCAAGCCTCCTTCATTTATGTTGCTGACCGTAAGAAGTTTCCCTCTAGATTGAATAATTTATTAAAATGTTGAGCTGAATTTGTTTTTAGTGCTTCTGTTTTTAAGCTGTCGTTGGTCAAATTATAGAAACTTGAAGGTTAAATTTCTCTGTTAAGATTTCAGCCTAGTGGTCGTTTCCAGACGCAAACTAAGATTTGCTTGAGCATATCAAATCATCATCCTGAGCATTGGCAACCGTCATGGAGCGGCAAGTGATATTTCTTTCGCCCTGTTTGCATTAAAGTTGGTCTAAAAGAAACGAAAATTGAGGAAGAGGAAAATTTTTTTGCTTCCTTTCTCCCATTATTTGCAACATATCTTACTCCAAGTTTTACATCATATTTCTCGTGACTTGTGTTAACTATGTATAAGTCTCGATACAAATTCAAAAGCACTCTTAAAAAATTTCTAAAAATTCGATACAAATCTCAAAACACTTACTAAATTTATATCCAAATCCAAACAGACTCAATGTCTTCGTGACTCTTGTTTAAACCATTGATTATGAATGTTGAAGCTATATATGTTCATTGCATTTGATGGAAGAAGGTTCTCACTGAGTTGATACAACTGTATTTTGGCAGTAAGAACTGCTCTGGTTGCACTAATTGCATTCATGCCCACCAGCCCAAATGGTGCCTTGGGCTCATTAGACTACAAGAAGGAAGAGAGGCGTGCTTTGGCCATTAAATCTCGTGAAGCAACTCCAAGATTTGGGACTCCTGAACGTCAAAGACTGATTGATGAGGTAAAATGTTGCCCATTGTTTTTTATCCACTGCATTTTTTTTTTCTTCTGAATCATCTTTTGCTGATTGAACTCTTTTATCCCAGATACACAAGTATACGCTAAGCAAATCATCTCCTGTTCCACAATGTGGCCACTCAGAAACTTCTGAAGAAGCCTCCAAAACCAAGGAGGCCGAGACTCAGGTTAATTTGAAAATTCCGGAGGCTTTACCTGCAGTAGAGGGGATTCCAGACCAAGCAGGTGACAGAATAGTTGAAGAACAAGAATTCCCTGTCAATGCTAATCCTAACCCTGCAGGAGTTGAGGCTTCGGTGGTGAATCCATCCAGCATCTCAAGCAAGCAGTTGCTCCAAAAGTCAGATGCAAGGTTTCAGAATTTGAAACCAGAGACAAGGGTTCAAAAACCTGATGATCGATTGTTCACACTGGCAGCTATTGGACTTACTATAGCAATTGTGATCCTTTTGCTGAAGAAGTTTGTTAATTCTGAACATGGTGCAGTTTTCATGAATGAATCATAGATGTATTCTTTGCTCTTGGCTTCAAGGTCAAGATTCTTAACCTCCCAAGTCAATAGGAAAATCTAGCACTTCTCTTGTTAATATTTTATGATCTTTCAATTTGTACGTAGGGCTTGTAATTATGATAATAAAATACATTGGCTTGTAATGATGATAATAAAATACATTTTTGCTAACTTTGAGTTCGGGAGCAGGGTTGAACAGTCCCACTCCCCATTATTAAAACTTGATGCAGTGTCTAGTGTATCTGTAATAATATGATAATGGAAAAGATACTTGACGGGAGGAACACGGAAAATTTCTCTTCTGCCTCTGAAAGAATCAGAAGTATCTGTAATACAGATTGGTTGAAGAGAATAAATTTTTATTTAATTTAACCTATCTCTTTAAAATACTATAGATATTATCAGCACTAGGCACTGTAAATACAGCATGCTGAAGCTCTAACTTTGCTATAGCATATTGATACAAGTAAACAACATTTTCCAAACTGACATCACGTTCAAGTACGAGTCTTAAGCCAACTGCATTTCAATATCTTCCTCCATGAACTCTGAGTTCTATACTCAAATATTTGTTCAATAAGCCCCGCAAAATAGAATTTATCATCCATACATTCCACTTTTCCGCACAACCTCTTGAACATATCACAAACTTCTTTCTCCGTATAATTATTATCGATGATCAGAATCCCCAGGTGGCGGAACAGCTTCACATCGTTTTCGTTGCAGACCAAGGCTTTCATTAAGAAGGCATAAGATGTGAACGGTTGAGTATCATTTTGATGCTGCTCCAACGCTATCAGATTGGAAAATATCATTTCTGTGATTCGATGGATTCGAAGGGGAGGAACTTCAATGACCCCATTAGAAAAATTCATGTTTAGTAAGCTTTTGGTTGAGAAACTCTTGGACTTAATCCCATCATTCTTGAGCTGTGTTGCACATTCAAGATCACCTATTGATACACGTTTTTTGGACCCTACTCTTGCATAGGTTGGTAGATAACACTGGCGAATTAAGTCAAGCAAATGATAACCCTCTTGGCTAAAGTTCTCATTCACAATTTCCTTATCCCCTGGTAACATATTTCTGAAGAAACGAATGGCAAGCTCGTAGAGGGTCATCAGGGTCATGTCATGTTGTACAATTTTGAATAGCTTTTGAAGAACGAGGAGCGGTATTTGGTTTTCCAACAAGATGAGGTCACACCTTACCCTGTTGAGTAACCCTGGCGTGGTGAACACGGGGTCCCCTCGGCGTCTGATACCCTTTTGAGCATACTTCAAGAAAAGCTCAATGATGAAACACCCATCAACTAGCATCATCTCTATGAACTGGTTGCTTTTGAGGCTGAGTTCTTCTGCGTAGAAACTTCGTGCTGGCTTCTCCAAATCGCTTAGCGCGTTCACACACTCGTGCAGGTTTGACTCGAGCTGGTTCGGTTGTCGGCTCAACAGTGTGAACACGTAATGCCACTTACGATCTTCCATGTGTTTTAGAGCATCCTTGCCGTGATGGAGAGGACCAATTGAAACCGTGCCAGGGATGTACATCTTGTCGTTTGCTTCTACAAGTTTCTCTGGGACTCTGAAGATTGATTTCAAAGATGAAACGGCTTCGAGCTTCTCTTTAATTGATGACACAAGGTCTTTGTTTGCTTGTTTGATGGTGGAAACAGGTTCATGGTCCATGTTTTTGAACCGGAAAATCCACTGAAGGACATACAATTTATTTTACATATCATGAAAATCATTGTCAAATCACATTCACACACAATAGACACGGCAAGAAATGTTAACCGATAAAATTGATTTTTTTAATTCATTTTTGATTATGAAAATAATATGTATTTGAAGATGCAATGCACATGCTTCTATTTTTGGTGTACAATAGAATCTATGACTTTGTCTGTCTAAACCTTAAAACATCTCATTATTCGACCGACCCAAGTGGAATAAGATGCGCATGCTCAATTGCTCATACTTCTGGAGAATATGTATGGGACAAGACACCAAATGTGAAAAGAATGAGGGTACTTGGGTAGTTATATCCAGATTCAAGGAAAACAAAAATGATAGAATGTTAAATTCACAAGATATATAAGAGCTCTATGGCCAAACAAAGAGTTTACTTTTGGTTTGACATTTTATACGTTGAGTCCACTATATGCTATCCCATAACTCGTCTTTAGCATTTTAGAATAGCTTTATAGTTATTAAAATTTATAACTTCCTAGCTCGGTTTGTACATTGAGCATTATATATTTGCTACGCAACCACTGAAAATTTTGTTTTTATGAAAGAATGTTAGTTATATTGTTTTGTTTTATACAATATGAAATAAATATCCTCTCAAATGTAAGGATGTGCAAAAAAAATTCAAACTGATATGAATTGATTCATAATCAATTTAATCTGCATTAAAAATCTGATCCATTTTAAAAAAATTTGAATTAATTTACTTTATAAAAATACTTTAATTATTTAATCAACTTTTATAAATTGACTCGGTTTGAATTATTTTTTTTTAAAAATCAATCTATATCTATATATAAATAAAAAATAGATAACTGTATTATACTGAATTGATCAAATTTAAAAAAAAAAAAATATATATATATATATATATTTTTTTTTTTTAAAAAAATTAAACAAATTAGC